TCCTCCTCCTCCTCCTCCTCCTCCACCTCACCCTCTTCCTCCTCCTCCTTAATAATCTCCGCAGGTCATCCGCCCCCCCGGCCTCAACGACGTCGCCATGGTGGTCTGGAGGGTGTCGGTCACGACGCCCGAGTGTCCCAAGGGCAGGGAGTTCATCCTCATAGTCAATGACGTCACCCTTCAGAACGGCAGCTTCGGAGTCAGAGAAGACCAGGTCCCTCCTGCCTCTCCTCCTTCCTCCCCTTCCCCTACTCCTTCCACTACGCCGTCCTCCCGTTCTCCCCTTTCATTTTTCCCTCTCCCTCTCCCTCCTTATCTCCTGATCCTTATCATGATCATGATCATGATCATGATCCTGATCCTGATCCCTCTTCTCCCCCTACTTCCTGCTGAGGCTGCTTCCTGCCCCAGCTGACGACAAGCAGGTCTTCCACCTTGCCACCTCTCTCGCTCAGGAGGAAGGCATTCCTCGCATCTTCGTCGCCGCCAACACAGGCGCGCGCATCGGGCTGGTGGACGAGGTCAGGAACAAGTTCCGCGTGCAGTGGAAGGACCCTCTGAACCCGAGCTCGGGCATGGAGTTCCTCTACCTCGACGAAGATACGGTGGACGTGCTGGTCAAGAGGGGGATGGCGCAGGTGGAGGAGGTGACGGCGTCGGACGGGACGAGGAGGAGCAAGTTGGCCGCTGTCATCGGGCCCGACGGGATCGGAGTGGAGAACCTGAGGGGGTCGGGAAAGATCGCCGGGGGCACCTGCCGGGCGTACCGGGACATCTTCACACTGACGTTCGTGTCCGGGACGAGCGTTGGGATCGGGGCGTACCTGGTGCGGCTCGGGCAGCGGGCGATCCAAAAGGGGCCGCCGATCCTGCTGACTGGGGAGGCGGCGCTGAACAAGGTGCTGGGAAAGAAGGTCTACACGTCGAACTACCAGCTGGGGGGGACGCAGATCATGTGGAGCAACGGAGTAGCGCACGAAGTGGTGTCCAACGATCTCATGGGAGTGCAAGCCATCATGCGCTGGCTGTCGTACGTGCCCGCGCGGAGAGGAGGAGGACCTTGTGTGCTGCTGTCTCCCTCGAGGAAGCTCCTGGACCCCATAGAGAGAAAAGTTTACGATCCCAGGAGGGGCCCCGACCCGCAGACCGTCTACGACCCGCGCATCCTCCTGACGGGAGCGGTGGACGCCATCGGCAAGTGGCGGGGAGGGCTCTTCGACAGGGACTCATTCCACGAGTCGCTCGACGGGTGGGGCATGACGACCATCTGCGGGAGGGCGAGGCTGGGGGGCATCCCAGTCGGCGTCGTCCTGCCGGAGATGAGGAGCGTCAACTGCACCCACCCCGCGGACCCCGCGGACCCCGACTCCAAGGAGCAGAACGTGGTGCAGGCGGGGGGTGTGTGGTTCCCGGACTCAGCCTACAAGACGGCGACTGCGATCCGGGACATGAACCTAGAGGAGCTGCCGCTGTTCATCCTTGCCAACTGGCGCGGTTTCAGCGGGGGGATGCGTGACATGTACGAGGAGATCCTCAAGTTCGGGTCCATGATCGTGGAGAACCTCGTCGACTACTCCCACCCCATCTTCGTCCTCGTCCCTCCTGGGGGCGAGCTGAGGGGGGGTGCCTGGGTGGTGATCGACCCGACCATCAACCCGGAGCAGATGGAGATGTACGTCGACCCTTCAGCGCGAGGAGGCATCCTCGAGCCCTCGGGCATCGTCGAGATCAAGTACAGGAGGAACCAACTGCTGGAGACGATGAGCCGGCTCGACCCGGAGGTCGCCTCGCTCAGCATGCAGCTGACGACTGCCCCGGAGCACGAGAGGAGGGGGATCGCGATGCAGCTCAAAGCCAGGCAGGAGCTCCTCCTCCCCCTTTACCTCAAGGTCGCCGAGCACTTCGCCGACCTCCACGATGTTCCTGCTCGCATGCTCGCCAAGCGATGCGTTCACGGCATCGTCGACTGGACGTGGAGCAGGCAGTTCTTCTATGCTCGCCTCGCCGTCGCCTAGGTCCTCCCT